TGCTCCGTGGGAAGCCTGATTCTCCCTCTCCCACTCCCCCTGCTTGTGTTCCCTCTCTCATATTTGTGAAATTTGAAATTTGCAGGTTGATAGTATCTAGGACTTATTGTTGAATTCCTTTAAGTGCTATGTGTAATAGCTTCTTTTTCTTAAGAGTAAAAATGTAAGGTAGTGAAGAGTAAAGAATAAAATTTTGGGTAGGCCAATAGATACTGTCACATTCAAATATTGTGTGTCATTAACTTAGTGACTGAGCTGTCTGTCAGCTAAGGAGACCATAAATGCCTAAAATAGTATCCAGGGGCATTTGGATGGCGTTAAACTGGAGGGTAGTGGTTAATAGAACAGTATTTAGAGGCAACCAGGTTCAAATATGGAATAATCATCTACCAGCTTGTTACATAGACAAATTATTAAACCTCTAGAAGCCTAAATTTATCTATAGCACCTACATTATAGGTGTCTTGATCTGTTCAGGCTGCTATAACAAAAATACCATAGACTAAGCGGCTTAAACAGCAAATATTTATTTCTCATGGCTGTGCAGGCCAGGAAGTCTAAGATCAAAGTGCTGCTCCTTTCCATGTCTGGTGAGAGCCGGCTTCCTGGTTCATAGATGACCACCTTCTCACTCTGCCCTCACAGGGCAGAAGGGGCAAGGGAGTTCTCTGAGGTCTCTTTTGTTAACAACACTAACCCCAGGCATCAGTACTCCACCCTCAAGACCCAGTTAGCCTGCAAAGGCTCCACTTCCTAATACTACCATATTGGAGATTAGTTTTCGACATAAGAATTTGGGGGAGAAAACAGACACCCATTCCATAACAACAGGATTGTTGTGACATGTAAGTGATATGCCATAGATAAAATACCAGGCCTAGTAGTTGGCACATAGTAAGTGCACATAAGCAGGAAAGAGCTTTTATGTCAATCATCGGTGAAGGCTAGACTTTTCACCACTACCCCCTTGGTTACAGATACTAACACTGAGAGCCTGGCTTATTAGCACTCTAAGTAAATTAAATGGTATTTTTTGCAATGTTATATTTCACAGTTTCAATAGGTATTTGTAACATGTCGATCGTGTTGCAAATACAAAGTAATTAGTCTGCACAGGGCATGTTTTCTAAATATTTTAAAGGAACATCATGACACTTTTTCTTTTTCCAATCGGTGTGAGGAAAATGCAGTATCAGTTTATGTGGGAACAGTGGATGATGCCACTTGAGTATCCGCTGTATCTGTCAAACTGTACCCTTTGATTGGAAAACACTATTGATTCTGGACTCTTCAGAAATTGTTTCATGAAACCTTTTATTTTATTAGAATGAAACATGTACAAAAAGAGAGGACATGTTGGGAGTCTTCAGAGACTTAACTGAACTTCTTTGATCATTTGTATAAAAGTTAAATCTTTACCAGTTAGCAGTGATTGCCCCTCTGGAGACTGGAGTTAAAATCTGATTCCACTCTAACAAATTATGAGTGGAAATCCTGGAGAAATGGATGGTTTGTAACATATGTAGAACAGAGATCTGGACCCATTTGCATGTACATGCAACCAAAGATGACTTCGCAGTCCTTTTTATAAGTATTTAAAAAATTTAACCTTTCCATGTTCCTTTCCTTGATCAATCAGCTTCCCTATCATTGCTAATGTAGGAAATACCATGGAAAATATACCAAAGAACTTGAAAATAAGGTAAATGAGATTGCCTCTTGTGACTGAAAGTAAAAAGATAATAAAGAGGGACTCAGCCAGAAATACACACTGACACATTAAAAAACAAAATAAAACAAAGGCTTCTGAGACAAGACTGAGCTGTCAGAAGCGTGCATACATTTTATAGAAGAGTCTCAGACAGGGGGTGTGGAGACGGCTGACGGCGTTGAGTACCAGGTCTCATATACTGAGGAAGATAGCCACAGTCAGCTCCTGAGCAATACTTTTTAAGATCTGTTTGTTCAGAGCAAAGCAAAATTTCTACTCTCAAAACACATTCTGAATATGCTTTGGCTCCATTCAGATTTTTCTAGAGGGAGATACTGTGAATCTTTGTCACTAACATGACCACAGGCATTCAGGCTCCTGTAACAGCTGCTGATCTCATTCTAATAAGAACCAGTGGACATTGGGCTTTAGACAGCCATCACAGTGAACTACTTAATGTGACTCAGCTTCTGAGAGATCGGTCTGTGAATACTGAGTCTGCAGGACTAGAGGCCAATCCTGGCTCACTGCCAGTTTACCAAGGCACCCTGCCTTTCTGAGGCTTCCTGGCAAGCAGCCAGTCAGCTTTCCCTGGGGTCTCCAATCTCACTACATACTCTCCAGTTAAACTTCTTCAGCAAGTAACAAAAAGCCTTAGAAAACTTCAGAGGATATTATCCCTTCATTCAGAGAGAGCTGTCTAAGGAGCAGGTCAGGGAAGTACAGTGGCCAGCAAGAAGTGAGCGCAAGTAGAAGAACCAACTGTCATGGGCTTCAGCAGTGAGTAGTGAGGGGCTGTCAATAGACAGGGCTATAGGAGAACCTGGAAGCCAAAGAAAAGAAATGGGCTACACAGAGAGTCAGATATATTCCCCACATTTTAATGTTGGCCAGAATCCTACATGCCTCCAGAGAATGCCTTTCCAGACCTTTAGTAATAATAACGCCTGAGTTCACAATTATTTTGCAAGGCACATATTTTTCTTTGCTTTCATACCTGAGCAAATTGAGGTTCAGGAAGGCTAAGTAACTTAGCAAGGTCACATCAGTTAATAACTAGTTAGTTAGAGAGCCAAGTTTTACACGGAAACCCAGTGCATGCACCATTATACCATGCTTCCTTCCATATGCTATACTCCAATAATGCTATTTTATCATCACTAATAGTAAGACTTTTTTATTTATCAAGTATTTGCTGAATGCAACATATTGCGAGACTAGGGCTAGGCATTGGGGTGCAATGGTGAGCTTAAACCTGGAAAATGGAGTCTAGTTTGGGAGATAAGCATTGATCAAATAATTATACAGATTTTGCATTATAAGATATATATACAGAGAGCAATAAGGACTTATAATTTGGGACTTTACCTGAAAATTGGGGATGGTTCTTGAAGAGTTACTTGAACTGAGACTTAAAGGGAGAGACTTAGTGGGATGAAGAGGGAAGGAAAATAATGGAGTGTAAAGGCCCTGTTAAGGCAGGGAGCTCTGAGAAGTGGGTAGAAGACTCTTGTGACCACAGGGGAGAGAGAGAGATAAGAGGTGTCCTGTGCAAGATGATCCTGGAGAAGCAGCCGGAGATCAGACCACACGAAGCCTCATAGGTTCCCTAAAGCTTTCACCCAGGACACCACAAACGAGGAACAGGCTTATTGAGAAAAGATCACAAGTTTAATTCTGTACATGGTGGGTTTGAGATATCTTTGTAACAATTTTTGCCCTCTGTGTCTTCTTCTTTTGACCACCCAGAACCACAGCATTTAATGATTGTGTAAAAGAGAACAAAGAGGGGAAAAGTAGCATCCACAGAGAATGGGGAACAAACTGGAAAATTTTTGTCATGGAAGCCAGGGTAGGACAATTTCATGAAAAGGATAATGGTCTTCTGTTCTAAATGCTGCCAAAGCATCAGGGAAAGTGAAGACTAAAATGTGTTGATTTTAACAACATTGGGGTCTTTACTGGCCTTTAGGGTATGTCTTGTCACTTGGATAGTATATCCTCTTTCTTAATTTTCCCATGCTTTTTATATTTAGTTTCGAGTTAGAATAAAATAAGGACAGTCTGCCAGAAATCAACAGAAACCATTTGTATTAATTCTTACATAGCTCTTTCTTTTCTATATCAATTCCTGTATATACACATACATCCATACATATAGCATAAAGTTTTCCATGATTTCTTAAAACCCTAATGGGCTCAGAGTTTCTATATCTGTCAGATCAATATAAAATATTTTTGGTGTCAGTGATTATATTTTATTTTCTCTCGAACAACACCAGGATTTAGAATAAAAGTAACGTATTAATTAAAAATTGATTCAGAAAATAATACTGAATTTTTCTTTCACATATAAATATTCTCTATAGATGTCTTTAAAAGTAAGAAATATTTAGCGACCTCTTGCCATGGTCCAAACCCAGTCATACAAACCCAGTCATTTTGCATCCAAGCAGATGCAAAATCTCCAAAGGACACAGTCTAGCATACAATGCTATATTGCTTTGCCTCCATCTGTGTCTTAGTAGTTCATGCTGTAGAATTTTTTAAGATGTGGTGATTTGGATCAAATATATGTAGATTTTGAAGCTGCATCAAGAAAGATCATGCCTCTTAAAACATTTGCCTGTGCATAAGAGGAAGAAGCAATGCATGAAGTAAGAGTAGAATATCAAAATATATGCAGTCCATCTGTTTTGTGCTTTTCATTTGGTTGGACCTACTCTCTACATGTTAATCACACGCACAAATAGATACCAATGCACATACACACACATAAACATATAAAACATAAAGTAGATGAAATTTTAATAATGAGAATTTGGTTTTGATTGACTTTATTTTTTCTGAAATTTAATTTTACTTGTATTTCCAATTTTAGGATATATTTTCTAGAATTTTCATGGAAAAAATAATTTTAGGGGTGCTTTCAGTACTTTTATTAGTTATTCTCACAAGAACACAACTTAGCCAGACTTTGCCTAAAACAGCAGAAAAAAAGATCTTTTCAAGTCTTTTGCTTCCTGCAAAATACAACTATTCGTAATTACAAGCTCTCAAAATTTAGAAAAGTCTAAGAAATCTAATTTAATATCTCACTCCTACTCAGGTTGTATATGAAAAGTAAGGACTTCTCTTACAGATAGTTTTGAAATGTCTCTGTCATAAAGAAATGCTTACTTACCTTAATAGAAAACTTTTAACATGTTGATTTCTGCTGGTACTAGAGAACTTTGAGTCACTGGTGACCACAATTGCTATTTGTTTCTGTCTTTTTGGTTAATTTCAGATCACATTCAGAAAATGAAGGCACCTCTTTACCATCTGCTGAGTCCTGTACCAGCCCTACTAAGATGGATTTATCATATAATAAAACTGCTAAGCAGTGCCTAGAGGAGATATCTGGTAAGTGACATGGTTGACGGATAGGTCAAACCTCAGAATTTTTGCAATCTCTCCATGTCTTTGTATTAAGTCATATTTGTGCTCTACTCTTTTATCTGAAGCATAAATGGACTGTGTACATCTCATGCTTCAGAGATTCTTAGATATTTGGCTACTTTGCTCAGGGTGATCTCTTTGTTGTGCTGTGAAGTGTTTTGTAAAGAATGGTAGTGCTTTTAGAGGTTGAGATCTTTAAGTCATTATTGCCCTCAGTCAAGTTCAATATAATTAGAGAAAATCTGGAAAACTTTCTATTGTTAGTAAGACAGTCTTTGAATATATTTGGAGATTGAAAAAAATGTTAAGGATCAGATGTCAATGCAAATGTTCCATGGCCAATCCAACCTTCTTTCTTTTCAATTCAGTACTATTTAGAACATTCCTACATGATGGCTCCAAATGTGTATTTAGGAAAAAAAATCTAATTATGGAAATATTTCATTACATATAAATAACTTAAGAAAAAAATATATATCCCAGACACAATTTGTCAGAGTTTTAAGTATATAAAACAAACTTCTCTGTGTTAGTCCAATGTTTTATTTTCCTAGGACCCAGATAAATGAAGGTATATATGGAAGGCCTTTTGTGTAATTCTATTATATAGGTCTGTATGTATGAGCAACTAAGAAAGCTCTTAGCAAAATATATGCTCCTAAGGGGACAAAGAGTAAGAACATTTAATCTAAGTGTAAGAATTCATAGAAGTAGAGGTACGTCTGTTATTCCAATACATTTCTGGTCAGCCCTTGTATATTCTGAAGAAAAAAACTAAAAGAACTATTTAATTTAAAAAAATTGCTATTGTACTCCAAAGATCCAGAGTATTTTCCTGAAGCTCATGAAAATAATCTTATCACAAATTTGGGGCTTAAAGAGTTTCTCCACTTTGGCGGACTTGAACGCTTAGGCAAGCATCAGCCATGACTGCAATATCCACCAGTAGATATTGACCACATTGACAGCACAACATCACGAGGGGTCCTTTTAGAATTATCAGTGGCATCATCAGGCATCAGAAGTTTTGTGTGAAGATGACAATGGACCAGTGCTGGGTAAAGGTAGAAAAGGTAATGCCAAGACATAGGTATCAGGATGGTATTTGCAGATTTTTCAAGTAGTTGGGGAAGTTTTTGCTTTCCCATAGCTCCAGATAGTCTCATAATCAGAATGATGTTGTATATCTGTATTGGGACTGGATATTTTTAAAACTTGGTGTGGCATGAAGATTCATATACTTCATACATTTCTTTATTCATGAATGTCTTCAATTATGTATCAATATGCCTGTGAAATACTGGAGCTCAAATATTTAGGACAAAATGCATTTAGTACAGTTTGAATTCTAACTTTTATGGGAATTTCACAAAGGAACATTGTTCCTTTGAAATTCATATATCACTGAGTGTCTCTGATTAAATATATAATCCATATTTGATTTTTTTCTCCAGTTTCTTATTCTGTCTACCATTTGATCATTTCTTCATATTTTCAGTTAATATTTCCATTTAATGTTCTGATGTTTTTAAATCTAACACTTGGAAGTGAAATATAAACTAGACTTTAACACAATAAAATAATTTAATGGATTTATTAGGAGGTACAATATTATTTTGCATTTTTATTAATTATTTACATAGAATCATAGGTTTGAGTCTGTGATTTAGATAGGAATATAATAAAAGAACGAAAACAGCAAACAAATGGTGAAATGAGTCTTACCTGATTGTGTCATTTCTGTTGTTTAAAATGATAATAAAAAATAGTAAAAATTTCTCTAATGCAAACTTGAGATTTCCTGGAAGAAAGATGATATTCATTTATGAATAGTAAGCTATAAATTGAGTACTGTGATTGGAAGAATCTAGGTGAGAGTATACAGGTAGACCAGTGATGAGAGAATGATTAGCATACCCTGGCCTTTCTTCCAATGATCTTGTCTTCTAATCCCTTCTGAGCTACTTAGGCTTATGGTCCTACCCTCAATCTGGGCATCATCAGACTCTGCAGCTTCTCGATAGACTCACTTCCAGGCACCCCAATCTTGCTGATTCCATCCTGGCTTTTCAGTGCTCTTTTCTTTTGTTCCAACTCTACCAGTGGTTCTACTAGGATTTCTAAATTCTGATTTAAATACGGATCCCATTTTTTTCCCATTTAAATGGGATCTAAATATTGATGCCACAGCCTTTTACTGACCCTTGTCAAACTCTGCATATTCTTTCTCCATCCCCCCCCCGCCCCCACAACCTGCTGCATTCCTGTGGTTACTGAATGCAGTTTGACCTTTGCGTATACCCTTTACTCTTCCTCCCCTCTCATTTCATTTGATAAAATCACAGGCCTGGTTACATCTAACCCTCCACCTGTTCCATACCAGCAGTGAAGGAACCTGGAGAGAAACACGTCCCATGGTGATGTGATTCACTTTATATTTATGGCCCCTAATATGTAATGAATATTTAGTGCTGCCTAGCAATCATTATGTATTTCTCCAGCCCATTCACTCTCAAGGACTTAGATGACAATTTTATACCTTTTCTTCTCAAACTTACCATATCAGCTCTTCTATCCCCTCCCTTAACTGATGACCTTGATGTTGATTTCACTGCAAAAAATTAAAGCAGAGAGGAAAGAACTTCATACATCCCTGCTACCACATCTACTTGCATATAATATTTACATGCATTCTTTCCACCTTTCCTCAGATAACTTTCTCTTTTACCTCCTCAATAGCTCCCTCTGCTCCAACTCATTCTCTATAGTCCTCAGGATTGCTACATCTCTCCAGTTTTAATTTTTGAAAAAAGCAAGAACAGAACTTCTCTTGACCCTTTCCTTTCCTTCTTTTCTCCTCCTCCTGAATTTCTGTTGTTGCTACTATATTCTGGCTGCTAGAGAAACCACAGACCACAAAAGCACTTGAAATTATTGCTGAGTCCACAGAATATTCCCTCAAAGACAATATGAAATAGGGGAAGTGAAATGTTCTAGGAAGTAGAAAAACATACTTCTGGCCTCTCTACTGTCATTATTTAGCTGAATTGTTCTTTGATTTCCTTTCTTTGTGAGATGACTATGATGCCTAATAAACTCACAGGATTGTTGTGAGATAGTTTTATTCATCCACCATATTTTTCAGTAGTCTTGACCTGGTACCTTATCCATGCCGGACATTGCAAGGATTGGGAAAGGAAACACGACTAAGACATGAGTCCTGCTATGGAAGAGTAAGATACAAACGTTACCACCGCAAATAATTAAATTACTAGTTGCCTGGGAACAACTAAGTTAGCTGTAAAGAGTTAGATAGAGCTTAAAATAATATTCTAGGAAGAAACAACTTCAATGAAAACAATTTGAAAAAAAAATTCTACCTATCTTATTAGTTTAATTTGTTTTTTATTGTAAAACTGGGAACTTTTTTTAAGTTCACTGGAGTCTTGGTAGCTCACTGGATTTTTTATAACCAGAAATTTCAGTGCTATTGTTATTGTTGAGCTCTTACTGTTAACAGTTGGTGCGGGAGCCTCCCTGGGGAATAATTCTGTTGTGCTCTCCAAGAGAAGTAGCCCTAATGATATAGAACTCTGATGGGTGAGTGAGCTTCTTGCCTATCCTTTAAGATTCATGCCACACCTCAATGTCCGGCCAAAGCGATGGTTCAGATTTTACTGCTTTGGCTTAGGTTTCATTCTTATATTCACTGACAGAAAGAATTTGGCGTCAGAGACCATCCCTTTCATCAAGTGCCAATAGATCTTGCCAAATGTAAAGTGAGCTTTATTTTTTAGTCCACTGGAATCATTCAGGAAAGTTTTTAGGATTATTTGTTTTGTTTTTTGTTTGTTTGTTTTTACATAGGTTCACACTTGCCCTTTTTTGTGCATAAGGCTTTTTACCAACATGTACAACATCTGTTTAATGCACTTTTTAACCTTTATCTAGAATTTATACTCAACTGAAAAACATTGAAAGTGCCAGACTGACTTAGTATTAGCAAAGCTGTCATGCCATTTGTAAAAAAGTAATAACATAATTGAATGAATTTGGGGAATCATTTTAGAAGTGAGAATTTAGATTAAGCGGAAGGATAAGCTAATGGTTACATGTGTTTTCTTTTCTGACTTACCAGACTTTGTCTTGAATAATGGTCAATATATGGTATTTAAGACTTGTAAATGATCACTTAAGTTGCCTTTTTCTTGAATGTTTAGAAAGATTAAGAAAATCAATCTCAGGTAATTTAAATCAGTTTCAATCTCTTACTTAAATAGCCACTTTATAATTATGTTTACTAAAAAGCTGAAAAGCATTCCTTTTTAGAACATTGTAGCCGCTATGCTTTATGTTAAGTCTTGGCAAAATTAAAGTGATTCTCATTTTTAGTATTGATTATGTATATTCATCTCCTATGCACCAAGGCTTCTTCCTTCACCTTGTATAACATACATTTATATGGGTGAATACAAATAAGTATAATTATACCTATAAATGAATGCATATCCAAAGCAAGCAGGTATAGCTGCCTCTAGAGAAGCAATAAATGGGTTCCCCACTGTCATTCAGGGTAAACTGATATACTGATATAGTTCCAGGGGAAAAACTATTGTAGCTGCAAGTTGACAACAATATGTTTAGATAAAGAAACAAACAAAAATACCCTTGTGATGTTTTCTGTTAGGGTTATTTCTTCAAAATAACCAGTTCTTCCTTATCATCCCCTTCCTGGGTCCACCCCTACTCAAGGATTATATTTCCTGATCTACTGAATCAGGATGGACCATGTGATTTAATTTGACCAATGAAATATGAGTGGAAAAATGACATGGGCCATTCCTGAGCAGAAGCTTTAAGAGTCAATGCTTGGATCTCTCATTGCTTGTCCCTCTGTCATAATATCAACATGTCTGAAGACTGGTATTGCTCTTTTAGTATGGGTCTTAGTATAAGGGGTACCT